TGTGTGTGCAGGGTCGTAATACGTTCGCAGTGCGTGGATTATGTGTGTGCAGGGTCGTAATACGTTCGCAGTGCGTGGATTATGTGTGTGCAGGGTCGTAATACGTTCGCAGTGCGTGGATTATGTGTGTGCTGGGTCGTAATACGTTCGCAGTGCGTGGATTATGTGTGTGCATGGTCGTAATACGTTCGCAGTGCGTAGATTATGTGTGTGCAGGGTCGTATAAGATGCACTAATACTTCGTAATGTTAATGAACTGTTTGCATAATAATTATTATAATTCCGTGCGCTGCCATTATTGTATTCTCATTGGTCACCCGGATACCATGTGCAGCCATATTATCAAAAAACAACTGGGCAGAGATTAATACCATTGCACGAACATTAAAACAAAACCGTGTGTGTGACTCATTAACAATCAATCCAATATTGATCATTCAGATTAGAAAATCCCGAACTTTTTAATCTGTAAATTTACATATTTGCGTAACCGAAAGTGTATTACACTGAAGAACTGATTCCATATATAAACATATCACTTTGTTCTCATAAAGTTTCAAATGACTGGTTTTACAAGTACATAAAATATACTAATCTAAACTCAATCAAATCGCAATGAGTATCAGACAGATCGTGACGTGATCAAACCTTGTCGACTTAGTGATAGCAATCGTTCCCTGGCAAAATATATCATTTTCAATAAGTACTTGACATATACATTGTTGATGTCCCTGATGATTAAAGTGAATAATTGACATTCGACATCTCCCAGGATATATAACTATACCATTATGTGTGGCTCGTATGAATCAGACAGTACGAATCTCAGTCTAATATTATTCACACCCTCAGGACATTATTTGTAACCAGATATTAAGTGTTACATAGAATAACTTTGATTTTATGCTATCACGACTGCTGAAAATAAAATTGCAAATTTAGTCAGGTTTATCATTATAAACAATTAATATCGAAAAGAGATACATATTATGAACAAGAAGTTTGTTGCATGGCAACGTAGCATATAATTTAAATAAATTGAGTATATGGTAACATAAAACATTTAGCGGTTATTTCTATGTGCAATATTTTTATTGCCAATTAGTCGGGGAGCTAATTACAGAAAAGAGGCCAATATATAAAATTAGCTGCCCCCCCCCCCTCCCACTCCCAGACAGCAAAGGTCAGTGGTAATTTTAAAGAGGATTACCTCGTGGTAGTACAGGTGTAGTCATTGATGGATGCACCATAAACATAATAGTGTTACCTAACTCTGAAAGGACAATTACTGTATTACGTTACCGGTTCAATGAATAACTAGTCAGACAATGTATAAAATGCTTTGTAATCCAAGCGTTATTGTTTGATGAGAGTCAACTCATGTAAGTCATATCACATAACTTTGTATTTTCTATGTATAGCTGCATATTGACTTTGTGTGAAATATGTTTTATCGACTTTTTCACTGTCATCATGAGTATTTTCATCTTATATTTTTGTAGTTTTCCGTTCTTTTATTGTTAACCACATGTTGGTAGTTTCTTTACATTGAATGCATATATCATCCTTTGATAATTTGAATAACTATTTGCATAATTCAATTTTTTCCTAACAATTTTTGTTACCATAGAAACCCAGGTACGATTAATAAGAAGAAATATTCTGTTCGCTAATTTACAAAATTATATTTTTAATTATTGAAAAAAATAATATAGAGTAGTGAAATATTCAACAATTTTAATATATTATGTAGTGTAAATATAATGGAACTGAACTGATATATATATATGTTGCCTAATTCATAACAACTAGGCCGCGTTAAAAGAATATATTAGATATGACTATCTAAGTGTCATTATAACCACAAAGAAGGAACAGTCGTGTTGATGGTTTCAATTTTAAATACATATTGCGAATCTCAGCGCACAGACATAATTCATGATATATTGTGTTCGGACATTTGTAATTGTAATTCTTTGTAATTATTAAAATAAGCAGACGGTTCAGGCATTAGCAGTTCATTATTGTCTGGTTATTTTGAATAATTACAGATGCTATTATCAATGCATCATATTTACAGGTACCAGCAGTTGTCACTTTTATTCAACATCTATCACTGCCACATATGGCATAAATAGTACGTGCAGTTGTCAGGAATTCCATATCATTCACAGAGGTGAAGTTTAGTGTTAAATATCACTAATTGATATTTCATAAAGTTGTGAAAGTTTTAATTGAAAAAAATATCGCTAAGAAGGAATTACTATTCTTGTTGATTTCGGAAACTATGGAGCCATAACTGCAAATGCGCGTTCACAGACTCGCTTAGACAGCACGCCTCATTTGCATAAATCAACATATGCTTCGTAAGCATAGTTCAGAGAATTTATCTGACGTTTTGACACTAGTTCATCATATTAAATACTACTTATTCCTAAAACTAGCAAATATTCGTAGCTTCGTTGCCTGAAATCCACACCATCAGTTTGTGGATCATACTAGCATATGACTTCACTCATATCAACCAGATCTAGGAACAATATGGTACATAAACTAAATATGTTGTTCATTGTATAATATGATTGGTACAAATAGGCTTCAGAATATTAGAGCGTCACATTCATGTCAAATGCGCGTTAATATACAATATATATAAACATATGCGTTAAATGGTATTTATATTGAACACACCGTGATGAAAGAACTGTTGTGCTTTATGAACTTAATATATACATACCTTGTAAAAATCCTGTCAATTTACACATGGCTGTGCCGTACACCCAGTTCGTGTAAATGTCGTAGCCTAATTGGAAAGGTACACAGAACATAGCGACTAAAAGATCAGCGACGGCTAAGTTCACCAAGAAATAGTTAGTAACGTTTCTCATATGAGCATTTCGAGCGACGACGATGATGACAAGAGTGTTACCAATCACCGCAGCAACAAAAACAGCAAAGTTAAGAATCATTAACATTATTGTGCTGGGCTTGGTGTGAGTATACTGACTGGATATGAAGTGGTCCACCATTTGCTTAACTAGGTTTTCGCAATCATAACTGTAAAACGGAATATCATCGATATCTGTTACATTCATGTTATTCAATGGCGTTATATTGAATGCGGTCAGTCCTCCACAAAAATCATTTATATCCATTGTAGTTTCCATAAGCCGTAGGTGATCAGCAAGTTTGGGGTTGCGTTCAAGCAACCGTTCCAAGTATACTTGGTCAGTCGTCGTGGTCATTTAGTATGTCTCGGTGTTACCCTGTAAATGAGATAATGACGTCATACTATTAATAAGATTGCTGTATTAGTGTGTTTGAAATCAGATTTTAGGCATATTCTTGATTAGCGTGTGACATTTAAATGTTTAGCAACAGGTTTGTACATTGCAATAATCGGTGTTATATCATGTGTTTCACCATATAAGTCAGTTTGCACAAATAATTATCTATTCACTGGACAATATATATTCTGCATCAATAAAGGAATGGTTGAACAGTTGTTTATCGTGGGCGAATAAGCAAATATGTTGAATGTTTTAGGTAAGGTAAAAAATTAGCAAAATACAAATAAGAGATAAAGAACATTGTTATGGAAGTTTGACCCAGACAATGGCACTAGACAGAAATCTATAATAGCATTTATATTATACACCACGAATACAGTCACATTAGAGATTAAATACACCAGCTGTGAGGGTTGTAGTTATAATTCATGAAATATTTCGCAGCAGGCGTATGTTGAATTGTTAGGAAGTTATTTACTATTTACACTATCCAGTGACTATTCTAGACTTTTAACTCATACAGTATGTTACTGCAATAAACGGACATTGTGTTCAACGCTTTATCAATGTGGAATGGTATCCACAGTGATATGGAGGTGATCGTCAATACACGACTAGATCAATGTAGTGCATCCATAATGGTACGGAGGTTCATAGTCACTACATGACCAGATGACTGCAGTACATTCACAGTGGTATGGAGGTTGATAGTCACTACATGACCAGATGAATGCAGTACATTCACAGTGTTATGGAGGTTCATAGTCACTACATGACCAGATGACTGCAGTACATTCACAGTGTTATGGAGGTTCATAGTCACTACATGACCAGATGACTGCAGTACATTCACAGTAGTATGGAGGTCATAGTCACTACATGACCAGATGACTGCAGTACATTCACAGTGTTATGGAGGTTCATAGTCACTACATGACCAGATCATTGCAGTACATTCACAGTGTTATGGAGGTTCATAGTCACTACATGACCAGATCATTGCAGTACATTCACAGTGTTATGGAGGATCATAGTCACTACATGACCAGATGACTGCAGTACATTCACAGTAGTATGGAGGTCATAGTCACTACATGACCAGATGACTGCAGTACATTCACAGTGTTATGGAGGTTCATAGTCACTACATGACCAGATCATTGCAGTACATTCACAGTGTTATGGAGGTTCATAGTCACTACATGACCAGATCATTGCAGTACATTCACAGTGTTATGGAGGATCATAGTCACTACATGACCAGATGACTGCAGTACATTCACAGTGGTATGGAGGTTTATAGTCACTACATGACCAGATCATTTCAGTACATTCACAGTGGTATGGAGATTCATAGTCACTACATGACCAGATGACTGCAGTACATTCACAGTGGTATGGAGGTTCATAGTCACTACATGACCAGATGACTGCAGTACATTCACAGTTGTATGGAGGTTCATAGTCACTACATGACCAGATGACTGCAGTATATTTACAGTGGTATGGAGGCTCATAGTCATTACATTACCAGATCACTTCAGTACATTCACAATGGTATGGAGATTCATAGTCACTACATGACCAGATGACTGCAGTACATTCACAGTGGAATGGAGACTCATAGTCACTACATGACCAGATCACTTCAGTTCATTCGCAGTGGTATGGACGTTCATAGTCACTACATTACTAGATAACTGCAGTATATTCACAGTTGTTCGGAGGTTCATAGTCACTACATGACCAGAGGACTGCAGTACATTCACAGTGGTATGGAGGTTTATAGTCACTACATGACCAGATCACTTCAGTACATTCACAGTGGTATGGAGGTTCATAGTCACTACATGCCAAGATGACTGCAGTACATCCACAGTGGAATGGAAGTTGATAGTCACTCAACTGTAGTCACTACATGACCAGATGACTGCAGTACATTCACAGTGTTATGGAGGTTCATAGTCACTACATGACCAGATCACTTCAGTACATTCACAGTGGTATGGAGGTTCATAGTCACTACATGCCAAGATGACTGCAGTACATCCACAGTGGAATGGAAGTTGATAGTCACCCAACTGTAGTCACTACATGACCAGATGACTGCAGTATATTTACAGTGGTATGGGGCTTCATAGTCACTGCATGGCAGGATAACTGCAGTACATTCACATTGGTATGGAGGTTCATAGTCACTACATGACCAGATGACTGCAGTACATTCACAGTTGTATGGAGGTTCATAGTCACTACATGACCAGATGACTGCAGTACATTCACAGTGGTATGGAGGTTCATAGTCACTACATGACCAGATGACTGCAGTACATTCACAGTGGTATGGAGGTTTATAGTCATTACATGACCAGATGACTGCAGTATATTCACAGTGGTATGGAGGTTCATAGTCACTACATGACCAGATGACTGCAGTACATTCACAGTTGTATGGAGGTTCATAGTCACTACATGACCAGATGACTGCAGTATATTTACAGTGGTATGGAGGCTCATAGTCACTACATGACCAAATGACTGCAATACATTTACAGTGATATGGAGGCTCATAGTCACTACATGACCAGATCACTTCAGTACATTCG